CTGCCTGACAATAAGCTATTGATTATAGCTGTATTTAACTTATAAGAACCAATCCATATGACCCTGATAGTGTTTGAATTCATAACCAATTCTTCTTGGAAGATGTCATAAGGGAGGGACTTATCTTTTCATCTTTTAGTCCAGAATGCCTAGCACAGTGCTTGGCTCATGTAGTTGCTATACAAGGGCTTATAGAAGAAAACGTGTATTGTTGTTGCACTGAATAGACTGGGTTGATTTCTAGTTGGCTTTGAGGGATTCAGGAGAGATTTTCGAGACAAAAAGGTGATCCTTTAATGAAATATTTGAAAAGGAGAAAAGAAGCGAAGTGTACGACCTCCACCAAGAAGAAAAAGCTAATTTCTGTTGTGACAGCATTTCAAAAAATATTTTAGTATATTTAAAGTTCCGCTACTGTATCTTTCCCCTTCTCCAAAAAAGTTTGGTTTCCATCATAGATCATTGAGAGAAAAGTAACAGTAGTCTTAATTTTCACTCTGAGAGAAAAGTAACAATAGTCTTAATTTTCAGCTTTTTAGGGGCATAAAACAACAAGTATTAAGCTATTAATGCAGAATTACTTAAAAAATGCCTTCCGAATATTGTTATAATAAATAATCAAAACAAATAGTATTATATCCAATGCAAAACCACAGTGAATTGACTTAATCATACATTATCAGAGCAAGGAAATAACATTCTGGTTTTAATGACAAAAAAATACAAGACAAAACTAAAACACCCAAATTAACTTTGCAGGCACCGGTGCCACTCTCAAAAGTTCTTTGGAACATAGTTTAAGAAATAACTGGGCCTTGGGTTAGAGAAAATTAAGATTGTAGAGACTTTTGTGCAAGGAGAATGGCCCAGGTGTGGGGCTTCTGATAGGCTCAGTCAGATAGGTGCCCGCCACAGCCTTGGCTTGACTCCTGTCTGGCCCAGAAGACATTAAGAACACCACTGGGTTAGCTGCTGGGAGGTGGTGATGGATAATGGCTGTGACCTGATTCCTGAGGAGCCATGAATTCACTGCAGCGTGTCTTAGCCATATGTGCGACCTGGCCACGTGTGTGGTTTCTCCAGGAGGAGGAGGGGAAGCTACATGAGTAATGAGTTTTATATGCCTCCTTTTATTGTAGCAACCATATTTAAGCCAGAGCCTCGCTTTCCTAGACAGTATGGTCTAAGGGTTAGAGAAATTGCATCTCAATTACCTGGGTACTGGATTTTGGGAGGCAACAAAGGAAGTGTTGGTTGGCTCCTGAAGTTGAGCCACTATGCACAGTCTCCACCTTCTGGAGGGCTCACAGATAAAAGGAGACAATTACAGAGTGGAGCAGGTGAATCCTTAGGGGCCTTGCTCAACCTTCTAGAATTTGTAGCAACAGCTAAGCACAATAGTCTAACTGAACCCTTTCAGTGACAGGAAACTATCTTGCTCTGTGGCATCTCATGAAGTTGGTAACATTTCCAATTATTTCCCTTCCCAGGAGTTTCATTCAAACCTCTGCATGCTGTCTCAACCGTCAGCACAACTTTACTCTTTCAAAAAAACGTGTGGCTCTGAAGAAGCGTTGTGTTTGAGATGGACCTTTCAATAATATGAGAGTTTGGAGGGCTCTTTCTATAACTTAGAGACCTTCTTTTTCTGCCTTTTTTTCTCCTCCAAATATCTTTATCCAATTGCTATCAACCATGAATGTCCATTAGAATCACCCAGGAACCTAAAAAAAAATCCTGATGCCCAGGCCTCATTAAATTATACTCTTTTGAGGTGGGACCAATACACTGGTATTTTTAAAGATGATTCCATTTTGCAGCCGAAGTTAAGAACCACTGCCTTGTTCCTGGAAACTGGTTAAACTCTTGAAGGTCATGCTATGGATTAAGGCATCTTAGACTTGAATCCTGACTCTACCATTTGGATAATTCTCCGTGTTTTTGTGTCTTCTTCTGTCATGCGGTCATAATAATAGTACCTACTGCAAAGGTTGTTGGAAGAACTGCATGAGGACACATTAAGTCCAGGAGAGTCTCTGGCATGTAGCAAGTGCTCTGTAAGTTTAACTCAGAACCTAGAACAGGTTCTAGCAAATGTTAACACAATGTGTTCTTACCACAAAACCAGGCGTTATTCTAAGCACTTCACACGTACTACTAAATACATGTTGCACTGAAGATCTAGTGTAAGAAAAGTGACATAGCAAAATGTGTCTTTGGGTTTTCTTTACTTCGTAGGACCTGTAGTTCCAGACTGCCCATTTAACTCAGACTTCAGCAAAGTCCCTGTACCCCTTGTCATCTCATATTTCTTTTTGCCTATCCTCAAAATCCCTTCAAAAGTCTTCTACAAAAGTTCTGTACATTTCAAGGCATTCAAGGTGACTAAATTAAGAGCTTCTTAATAGTCAGTTCTATATTTTTTTGTTGCCTTTTTTTTTATGTCCAGTGCCTACTGATGAGCTAGGTATGTAAGAGATGCCCAGTAAGTTCTTTATAGAATGACTAAATTAATTCACCTTGTAAAAGACTATGCTAATATACTTATGCAAGAGACATGAAGACTGAATTCCTGTGAATGATGGTGTTGGTGAGAAAAATACTACTACAAAATGCCTACTGTGTGCTAGGTATTTTTCATGCATACAAAATTTTAAAAACCTAGGAGATGGGTATTCGGGTAATCTTTGGCCATGTAACAACAAATCACTCTAAAACTTAGTGTCTTAAAATAACAATTATTTTCCTTTTGATTGTAATTAAATGGGAGCATAGCAAGAACAATACCTCTCTGCTCCAAAATGGCTCAACAGAGGACTGGAGTATGCACTTTCAGGACAGCTCACTCATGTCCTCCAGCCATAATGGAACCACCTGATGTCCTAGGCTCCTTCTTCACAGCTCCAGTCTGACTCTGAGTTGAATGGGTTGGAATAGAAAACTCTTTCTATGAGAATACAGCTCTCGATCTCAGCCTCTCCACTCTCCATTCCAAGGGGGAGCCGTGTCTGTGCTTGGGGAGAAGCCAAGCAAAGCAAAAGATTTCAACAGAGAACGGAGGAAACACACCCACTGAGGTTCTCATAGCAACATAATCATGCATAGGCAGCAGCCTATTTCGGTGGGAGCTTGTCTCAGCTCCCCTCCTCCCCAGTTAGTCACAGCTCAGGCAGAAGTGGTTTGGGGTGGGGTCAGAAGAGAATGTTGGACTGAAAGTCAGGAAGCTGGGGGAGCTGCTTTCAGATGCTTCCCCAGCTGGCTGAAGGATCATGGGCAAATGTCCTTTCTCTAATCTTGGGGTCCTTATTTATAAAATGAGAGGACTGGACTAGAGCGCTGTGAAGATACTTTCTGATATTCTTTGATTATACAATTACTGAGACTCTCTTGCTAAGGGATCAGGTGTGTCAGGATCTTTTGTATCTGAGAAAGATGCTTTGAGAAAATGAGGTTCAAAAGTGTAAAGTCATTCTTTAGATTCCCCTCATTTATCCCCCTACCACCTTCCGCACATTGGCAGGATGTGAAAGAGAAGGAGAATAACCAGGTGTTGCCAAGAACTCTCCTCACTCACCCCCAACACTAATCCAGGTCTATGGTCTTAGAAAGAAAAAGGTTAAGACAGACAGACAGACAGACACACACACACACACACACACACACACACACACACACACACACACACACACCGGTGGATTCTAGCCAGTTCTCTTTTCACTCTTTTTACTCTCCATCCCCTCCCCTCCTCTTCCTACTCCACTATTGCAGTGTATCCTCTCTTTCCACTCGGACCAGGTGATGGAGGCATCCTTAGATTCTGGCCCATTTCTTCAATGGACTCTGGGGTTGGTTGAGGACAATCAGGTCCACATTTCTTGCTGTCAAAGGTGATGTTAAAAAATAAATAGGGCATGCATGCAGGACTGATCTCTGCATGTAGGTACAGGACAAGATGAGAGCCAGGAGGCTCAGAAAGCATCTTTTAGGTTCCCGTCCCTGACTTGTGGGCAGCAAGCTTGAAAGTGCAGCTGTCTTTGAAAGAGTCAGCTTGAGTGGCCTGTTGTAATGGGAGAGACAGAATGGGGTTCCCTCCCCCTTGTTCTATCCCCACCAGCCTGACAGATGGCCAGTAAGACGGGGGAGGGGGGCTCTCAAAGTGAAGACAGGAATGTATTGTATAAAAATTCACACCCCCTGCTGCCGCCCAAACTCTCTTAAAAAAGGATCAAGAGAATCCTAATGGGTACGTGACATCCTCCCTCTCTCCATAAAAGGGACTTCAAAATCTGGTGATGATGGGGGAAGGGTGAGGAGAGAAAAGAGAAATGTGTCTGCAGGAGGCTGCCAAGGAAAACTAGGGTAGGGGGAGCACGACTGCAGGCACATCCATTTGACTTTCTCCCACTCTCTTCCCGAAGCCACCTCTGGCTGAACCTTCGCCTCACCCTCTCAGCCTGAGAGAGGCTTGGAGCCCCACGGTGCCTTGGATAGGGAGAGTCGGGGAAAAGAAGAAATCATGATACCATACTTAGAACAAGAGTTGAAGGAGTTAAGGACCCTCCCTCATCCAGACACCTACCCCTTCGCTCTCCAAAACCCAAACCTTAATCACCAAGGAAGGATCCAGGAATTGGCAGAGGAGCGGGAAAGTTGGGGGTGGGGTGAAGAGGAGGTAACTGTGGCCCAGTCTTGCCCAGGGCTTGTTCTCGGCGGGAGGACGTACGGCCGGGTCCCAGAACCTGCAAGAGCCCAGTTCCGGAGCCTGCTCTCTCCGAGCCTCGCGCGTGGCCCTGCAGCGTCCGCGCAGCCCTTGCCCCCGCGCAAGTGTCCGCAGCGCCTGGGAGTTGAGGCGGCCAAGAGACCCTTGCAGTCCGGTGTAGGGGGCGGGCCCCGGGGCGCTGGGGGCCCTTGGTCTGCGCCCCGTCGCCGCCTGCTCTACCGAACCTCCTACCCCGCCCCCACTCACCCGGCTCAGCCCCTAGGAGAGACGCGCAGGAAGCGTGTTGCTTCGCTCAGCCGATCCGCAGAAGTTGAGAGGAGTTGGTGGCTGCCTTCGGCCGGCCGGACTTTGCGAGCGGAGCAGCCAGGAGAGAGACGCCGCCGCCGCGGAGCCTTCGGGGCTGCCTCCCTCCTGTCTAGCCCGCAGCGCGGGTGGAGAGGGGCGGGGAGGGGTCGGGTGCGCGAGAAGAACTTGAAACTGTGTGAAGGAATCCGAAGCAGATGAGAAGGGAGGAAAATAAAACAAAGTGGAGACTGCAGGAAAGACTCAGCCGGGGTTGACTGTATCGGCTGACGCTCCGGCAGAGGGGCTGGGTTGGGTTTTTTTTTTTTTTTTTTTTTCCCCTTTCCCTTCCTTCCATTCTCTTTTTCTCTTTCTTTTAAAGCTACACCAGCTCTTTCTTTCTCTACTATCTCTGTATCACCAAACCCTTGCTGGCTCTTATGGGCATGAAACACTCCTCCCGCTGCCTGCTCCTAAGGAGGAAAATGGCGGAGAACGCTGCCGAGAACACCGAGGTAAGGAGGCGAGAGGACGGGGGCTCTTGGCGACCCCGGAAGCCCACCGGACCGCCGCGCCGCCGCCGCTGTCGCTGCGCCGCCGCCGCTCAGCACCGAGAGCCAAACTTTCCCCAGTACCATCCCGCTTGCTTCCGCCGGCCGTGTGCGTGTGCGTGTGTGTGTGTGTGTGTGTGTGTGTGTGTGTGTGTGTGGTGGGGTGGGGGGAAAGGCAGTGCATATCTCAGGTCCCCTCCCTCTTGAAAATGCAAAAAGAGTCTCTCTCACCCCATCTCCCTCTCCTGCCGCCCGCTGCTCGCTTCTCTTTCCCCCAAGTCCCAAATCCTAGGCAGCCGCTCTCCCTTGCCCTCTCCTCTGGGCTCCGGTAGGGCCCCAGAGTCCCGGCTTTGTGCAGAGCTGGGAAGGGTGATCCTGGGTCCAGGTCTGCTTCCTGCAGTGCCTTGACCACCTCCAGACGCTGCCCCAGATTTACCCTTCAAGCTCGAGTCCCTGAGCTCTCGGTCCCCGCAGCACCGCGGAGAGCTTCCGGTCGCGGGGAGTCAAGCTCAGCCGGTGGTGGGACTTGGGCTCCACCAACAGATCAGATCCTCCCGCCCGGATCCGGGACAGGGAGAGGTCTGCAATCCTCGAACGTTAGAGCCGCCTCCGGGACACTAACCCAGGGGAGGGAGCGCCGGCCACCTTCAGAACCAGGGACAGCGTCCGCTCCTGCTGCAGCTGAGCCGGCGCCGGCGGTGGGGGCTGCGCGCCGCGGGCTGCAGCGACAAATGGGTCTGCAGCCACTCGTCCCGCAGCAGCTTTTGAATGTCGCTCTAGCTCCGTAAATTACGCTCTTGCCCCCTCCCTGTCCTCCCCCCCGCCTTCGGCAGCCCAATAACTGCCCTTTCTCTACTCTCAAGTTGGCCCTGAGCCGCAAAGAACCCTGCTGGGCTTTAGGTCCCAGTACTGAAAGCTGTGTTCTCTGGCCTCGCACTGACCCTGCTGTCATTACAACTGGACTAGTCCGTAGGTTCTGGGAACCTGTAGTCACGAAGGGGATCAGCGCGGGCAGTCCCCTTACCTTCCTGGAGAAACGGTGAGCCGAGGTGGGGGCGGAGTGGGGTAAATGTGTGAAGATCACCCCTTACACGGTGGCAGGAGAAAGGCAGAGAGCAAACTCCCGGGCTCTATTAATAGCCGAGTGTCTGGTGGGGCTGCCGTACATTTCACATATGGTTACCCATATGCAGCATGGGGCAGGTGTGGCGCGGGGATTGTCCCTCTGTCTTGCTGGAACGCATAAAGGTGCAGAGACCCTTCGCAATCTTCTCCCCTCAAGGTCTGAGCTGCAGCTAACCCCTACCTCACAGCGTGGGCAGCAAAGCTTAAAAAAAAAAATTCTTTGAGAGACTAGAAGCAGCATGCATCTGGCAACTATCTATTTTGAAACAAACGCTCTCTGGGGCTTGAGAACAGTCGAGTATTCAGTAGCTAATGTCGTCTCCTTGAGTTAGGGCAAAGCCAGCAAGTGTGCGTTCCCCTGGACACTTGCTCTTCCCCACCCCCCATCGGAGGGCAGACATTCAGAATACTGTGTAGTATAAGCCTCACAGATGAAAGCTAGCTTCACCAATCCCCTCGCCCTCCTCCCTCCAATCGCCCACCGGCGGAAGAGGTTTCTAAAAATAGCTCAGAGTCAAGGCTGCATCTTGTGTAAAGTGTTGCACTAGCCGGCACGTAGCAATCCTTATAGCCAGGTGGCTGGAGCGCTGGAAGCAAGAAACAGCTTCCTCCTCCGCCCTCCCCAACCCCTGCTCAGTTTCTAAAAAAAAAAAAAAAAAGTTTTCTCAGGTCTCTAACCCCCGCACCCCGGCTGTTGCACGGGATCTGGGTGCAGACCCTTGCCAGGTTCCGCATGGTGCAGCAGCGACTGCTGGGCTCCCCACCATGGCCTGGGTTAAAGGCTTTCAGTAGGCAGAGCGACGCGCGCCAGGCTATTTTTACTTGCTTCCCCCGCGGCTCCGCGCTCCCCCTTCTAAGCAGTTGCACATGCCAGCTCTGCTCAAGGCATCAATGAAAACAGCAGTAGAGGCGCCGAGCTCCTGCGAGCAAAAAAAAAAACCCCGCGTCGCACACAGCGGAGGTGGGTGGGGCAGACCCAGTGGGGGGCTCCTTGGAGGAGAGTGAGTCGGGGGGTTCAGTTCTTAGTAACTCCCTGGAAAAAGGAGGAATTCAGACTTGTTCAAATGAGGCATCCAGGCAGCGTGACAATCACTTGGTTTTTCTCCAGGAACTGGCTGTTTTTGGAGTAAGCCAGGACTAGAGCAGTACTTCCAAAAGTGGGGAATTGTGGGTTTGCCTGCGTGTGTGGTGGGAGAGAGATGCAAGGATGTCTCTGTGGTGTGCGTGCGTGTGTGCGTGTTTGTGTTCTTAATTGAACATGACTTTATCAAACACTGACTCTGTACTAGGAATAATTATGTACCCCAGATCCAAGATCAAGACAAGCAGGTCCCTGCTCTCTAGAGACTCACTGTCTGGTGGACTGTGGTGCCTGAAAATCAGGATTATCCTGTCATACCTTTTCTTGCCTTGTGTTGGTGTTGTTTGCAAGTGCTTTTATATCCTTTAATCCTCACAATAATCCTGTGAGATAAGCAAAGGTTAGTATTTATTTTTTTTAACCCCATTCTATAGGTGAGGACACTGAACCTGAGAGGTCCAGCAATTTCTGAAGGTCACCTAGTCAGCTAAATCAGCCCGGGAACACAGTTTGCTCCCACTTCTGATTCTTTGCTCTTCACCCTAATTCGTATTTCTAAAAAGATGCCATGTGTGAATGGAAGTAGGTAAGGAGTAGAGAAGAGAGGATTATTTTGGAAGGGAGAGATGAAATGTTGGGGGTA